TAACTGAACAACCTTACATTAAGTACGGTTACACCATCTTGCTCTTCCCTGACAATATAAGCCTACCACCAATACTGTACTTACTCTCCCTCGGCTCAGTAAATGATTCACGATATGCTGCACCAAATCCTCTCCCTTCACTCCCGTCTCACAATTGAAATATTTATGTCTCCCAAAATAAGAAAAGCTCAGTGGTTTTCTATGTTTCCTTGGTTTTCCTATTTAGTATTTTCAAGAATTTTATGAGGTCAAGGACAAGCATCACTAAAACGCAAAACTTGACCTTCTGTTCGCTTATATTTGACACATTCTATTATATAAGTGTGTGATGTGTCCTTTAGCGTCCCAGGAACACGTGATATGTGACTGAAAGGGAAAGATCACCTTCATTGAACTCTAATAGAAGTAAACTACAGCTTCCAAACGTAATCTTTTTCTATGTCAATGTCTGTGTTCTTCTTCAGCTGAACGTATCTGTTGAGATGTGATGCTAGTGTGTTGTTCAGCCGAGTCTCCTCACTCAACAAATGTCATCTCAAAGGTCAGTCTAAGATATTAATTCTCACCGTTATTTCTGGTTTGACTTGTCTCCTTGATCTACTTCAGTATATTAGCATATGTAACAGAACATATGAGTATATTTAATTCTCTATTACGAAAAAAAATTAAATGACTACCGCTAACATAAGCACGCGCGCACTCACACACACACACACACACACACACACACACTTTTAACGTCACCAAAACACAGTGGCCATTACGTAACGTTTATTGACATCCCAACATTGAAAATTACGACAACATGATTACCCCGGGCACTCAACAGGCGGACTTTAATTGGCAATTCACCCCCTTTATCACTCAGTAAACTTGACATAATAGCAGTCTAGGGTGATAACTCTCACTCCAATACCCACATAATGTACTTTTACCATGTATTAAACTCAAACTCTGATTCCACTACCCATGTATTTCCCCGTCATTTAGCGGTGTTTAACATAATTATTTCCTGTAGATTCATTTAAACATTCTAAAACCAGATAAAAAACTCAATCATTCATGTAATAATTTGAATACATCTTGTGCTAATATCCCGGTGTTCTGTGTTGTGCTTCTAAAGATTTATACGTACCGTCAACTACTAAAGTCCGTTTGCCTCTCCCTCTCAACCACGAGCCCCAAGATTTAAACTCTTGAACCCGAAGCAGTAGACTGATACATTAGTGTGTCCATAAATGCGTCGGGTTCATGAGCCTCAATCTCGGGGTTTGTGATTCAAGGGATCCGATAGACGAACGGATTTTAGTAGTTGACTACACAAGCATCTAGAAATTGTCACTTAAAAGCATACGAAGCTTCTTTCTTTCATTCTTTCCTAAATGAAGGAGTACACGAGACACATTTCCAGTTACAATCTATTTTCAATTATCAAACAAACTTCATCTGACGAAGACGGCAATAATAATAATAATAATAATAATAATAATAATAATAATAATAATAATAATAATAATAATAATAATAATAATAATAATAATAATAATAATAATAATAATAATAATAATAATAATAATAATAATAATAATAATAATAATAATAATAATAATAATAATAATAATAATAATAATAATAATAATAATAATAATAATAATAATAATAATAATAAATAATAATAATAATAATAATAATAATAATAATAATAATAATAATAATAATAATATATAATAATAAATAATAATAATAATAATAATAATAAACAATTAGTTCCTATAATGGGCTCCCTAAACCAAACATATTTACTATTTACAATAATATTATGTTTAATTCAGAATTTCATAAAAAAATGCGGAAGAATATATTAAGATAACAATGTACTGTAAAAAGAAAACATATAATCACAATCAACGGCCAGACCGACTCATTCTGAACAAAGTCAATAGAAAATTGTCCAAAATAGTCGCTTCGTCACCCCATCCAAGAACTTCCACTGGCAATATTTAGTCTCAGGAAGATTATCCATGGCATGAAACCTTATCCATACACAATACAGCTCACTAACCCACACAGGGAAACAGGTCTTGAAATAGCTCGGTTGTTTGTAGAGAAAGCGGAGTAGTGTAAAATTATCTGAGTGATATTTGGTTCTCCGGCAACGTTTACTGGGGCGATGTACGTACTACCGTCTTATGAGTTTTGACAAGAGTTACTTATATTCATTAACTCAAGTGTACATCCTTGTGAGTATTGAGCGACCATGGCATCAATATATCATTATGGTTTGAAACAAGATAAAAAATATATAAAACTAGTGAATAAACTGTATTTCTTTTTTATACTCTGCAAAAATTACGACTTTAATCTAAACATGTATATTCTGTTGCTCTCATACTGCCAGCAATGTTTCCAGTTCCTCTACTCTCCCAAGATCCCGGGATTTTATTGAATTCGTTTCGCTAGTCTGTTTTACTGACAACATCTTCCCGGGATAAAGTTCTCTACCGTAAAAAGTGACAAAAACACAAACCACTCTTCAGGCAGGACTGGCGGAGACGGTCGGGTCCTATGTCTTGTGGAGACTGATTTAGTACGTATCGGGAAACTAATTTAAATCTCCCTGTCTCTGCTCGGGTAGGAGATTTGTCTTCCTGAATCTTTGGATGTGCAGTGCTGTTAAAGAGATGAGAACTGTGTGTCTGTGTGTTTGGAAGTTTTGGGAATGAGTTTTGCTTTCTGTATGTGGTTTTTAACGTGTGTTTGATGTTTTGAGGATATTTTATTGTGTGCATTTATTTTGTCACTTGCTTAAACCTGAGCTCCTCTGACCTTCCCGGCTGCAGTGTGTAATTTTGAAAATAAATTTTGTACCTTTTTTGGTCGAGACATCTGCATCGGTGTGTGTGTGTGTGTGTGTGTGTGTGTGTACATTACTTTGTCTGCCCCAGTAATGTAGTCGTGTACATAACATGTGTGTTTACATACAGTAACTTCCTAGTAACATTACCCAACTATGCTAAAAATAGCTTAATTTTTGTTCAAATAAGAAGAATGTATTACTTACGGCTTAATTTGACCAATATATGAACTACCATAAAGTGACACAGTTTAGTCATTAAGGATTATATGAACTGAATATACTTGAAAAAATATACTCCAGAAGAAGTAGTTTACTTGAGATTCGCTATACAGTATACCACAGATATAATAAACATATAATAACCACATCTCCGGCAACACACAGCCACGTCTTGCTCCAGATGCAAAATGCATTTTCAGGGTGAGGGAAAAGCTCAGGGAGAAAATGGAAAATATTCTTATAAAAAGATGGTACACGATTCTTGGCGCCTGGGGAGGGGGGCGTACTGAGGAGCAGGTGAGGGCGTTACTATAATTCCCTCCCTCACCCTCATCACCATGACACCCTCCTCGCCCCCCCTCCACCCTCATCACCATCCCGCCTTAATTCACCTGCACCTCCAATCCCAATTTCAGCGTCCTATCTTCATAACTGTGGAGGCAGCCTTCCCTTGGGTTAGCAGTCGTGGTCGGTCTCTGTGGGGCTGACCCGCCCCCCCTCATGGAGGGACAGGAGATAATGCAAGATCATCCCTTGGCACCCGCACTTCTTTACCAAATGTCAGCCCTCGTCTTAACTGTGGATCGAGTTGTTTATATTCTAATGCCTTGGTGTAAACCTCGTGGAGGTAAATGGTGAGGTTTGGTTGAATGCCGGAATGAAGGTCAAGGTTAAAACCAAAGCTGAGACCAGAATGGATGCCAGATTGAGCCAGGTTATCAGAGCCAGGTTAGCTGTCATTGTGGAACTCGAGGTAGAGGCTAAGAGAGGGCCAAGGTTTTTATACAAAGTAGAGATCGATATAGAAGTCGGGGGTTAAAGTCAGGGGGACAGCGACAAGGTCAGACTGGTAGGCGGTGTTAATGCCAGGGTGGAGGAGGGGGGGCGGGGTTAAAGTCCTAAGTGAAGGAAGAGGCAGAAGCTGGGTCGAGTGTCTTACAGTACGTGTCGAGGAAGGCATTAAGTGGGGCCCTCACTCTCACTTGTCCTATTCACCCTCTTTCTACCTCTTCTCTCCTCATTCCCTGTTCTCTCTCCCTCTGTTCTTTCCCTGATATTCGTCCTTTCCTCGTGCCCACTTCTTCCCCTCCTTCTTACCTTCGGTTTTTTATACATTATTTTTCCTCTTGATCAACTCTCCTTCACTCACTCAATCTGTTTTCCCTAACAACTTCTTCTCCTCCTCCTCCTCCTCCTCTCTCCTTCTACTATCACTTCCCTCTCCTCTTTTTCTTACTCGTACCCTTCTCTTAAAATAATCGCCTTCTCCTTCCTTCCTTCCTTCCTTCCTTCCTTCCTTCCTTCCCCTACATCTAACATTCCTATATGTTTCCTTCTTTCTCCGAACCGTCTCCCCTGTTCTCCCCTCCTGCAGCCCGTTTCTTACCAGCCTAAAGTTTGATTATCGTTATATCTTGACGCTAGGGGAAAAAAATCGCATTAACTAGGGAAATCTCCGCCTAAAGTTATTATTTTTTTTCCCTGATGATAATTAGGCTTCTTATTACAATGGGGGAGAAAGTCAAACACTATAATATTGTTGGAAATTATAATGAGGTGTATTTATAGTGATAGTCATTAACATTCGTGTTTTGTAATGAATATTTTTAAGATATAAACATCATTAACTCTTATAATAGTGAATAATAGGTTAGAGACGCTCAAGCTATACCCCTTTTCTTTCTGGCTTTTCCTGGTTTAATAGAACTACCGGGGAATTTTTTTTCTGCCAGCTCCACGCATCCCACTAATTTTCAACCTGTTCTGACCAACATAGCCTCATCTCCTCTCAACCTTAATCAACGTGGGCACAATACTTCCCCCCACCTGCCTCCGGCCCCGTCACTACAGTACACAGCACAGTTGGAAACGGGTCACTACTTTTAGCCCGTGAATCAAGTGATTAGATTTAGATTTAGATTACGACCCATGTGACCCGTGACCGTGACCCATGTGACCTGCGACCCATGTGACCGCGACCCATGTGACCTGTAACCGTGACCCATGTGACCTGCGACCCATGTGACCCATGACCCATGTGACCCGCGACCCATGTGACCCGCGACCCATGTGACCCGTGACCGTGACCAATGTGACCTGCGACCCATGTGACCCGTGACCGTGACCCGCTATGACCGACCCACATGTGACCCGTGACCCATGTGACCCGACCCATATGACCCGTGACCGTGACCCATGTGACCTGCGACCCATGTGACCCGAGCCCATGTGACCCATGACCGTGACCCATGTGACCTGCAACCCATGTGACCCACGACCCATGTGACCCGTAACCGTGACCCATGTGACCCGCGACCCATGTGACCCACGACTCATGTAACCCACGACCCATGTGACCCGTCCGACACCTGACCCACTTAACCCATGACCCGTAGACCCAACCAACATCTGACCAGAATATACCAAACTATGTTGGTAATCAAGTTTTATTTTATAAATCATAACACACGACTTTTCCAGCGCAAAATACAATGGCAAACTTTTCCATTAAACAAAAGTAAATATTACTCAAATAATCTAAGATTGTATTTTTGTATAAAATAATAATGATCATTTCTCAGATAGATCAAAACTGTTTTTAGAAACTCCTAAAGCACTTAGGAGCTACACAAAGTGATTCCCCGCTTCCAGTGTTAGTTATTGTCCCTGGTGCGGTATTAACTCCGTCCATTACTACAAGAACAGTGCAGTAATGACTCTTGGAACTCATGTAATGAATAGCGAGTCTTTTTAACGAAGTTTATCGCTACATTCAATAATTGCATTGCCGGCGAACGTGGCTGTGAATCTGATTATGATGTAATTATTCTATAATTAGCTCTAGCCGAGGCCTGGGGCTGTCACTGAGTTCTACCTGACGGCAGTTTTTATGTGAAAATGCTCATCATTATTTTATATGATATTTAAACTGCATTTAGTCTGCTCTTATAAAGTCATGTATTCATCATCTTCATTAACGCATAAATTCTAGCCTGTGATTGAGTTACTCGAGAAAGTGAAGGTAAACATTAGAAAGAGTGGATATTACTCACTGTAATTAAGCCGTCAGTACTCAAAGAGGAAGCGTGGCCGACCTCTACTCAGCCGCTTTCACTTTTCACACGTGTAAAGTTAAGCGTCCATTAACAACTGCGTGGACTTTGGCAGTGACCTGGGATCCAACCAGTGACCCATAGTACAGGCGGCGAGCGTCACTTTTCTCTTGCTTCAACACCGTCACTCTTATCTACCCTCTGCCCCACCATCCCACGCCACCACCTTGCCCGTCACCACCCCACGCCATCACCCTGCACGCCATCAGCCCACGCCACGCCACGCCACACCTCCATCCCACACCACCACCCTCGTAGTAGATAGATAACTTGGCCTCCGTGTCCTCCCACCTGGTTGAAGGCTTAGTGGCAGCCAACAGCTTCTCGCTGCTTAGTTAAAGCTGTGAATCCTCTACAGACCTGTGGAGAGTAGTGGGAGGAGGAAGAAGATGGGAGAAGAGAGTAGGTGGATAGGCAGATGGTAGGAAGAGATGGATAGTTAGGATGAGGTAGACAGGTAGGGGAAGAAGGCTTGGAGGAAAAGAAAGATGTGAGAAGAAGGAAGATGAGAGAAGAGAGTAAGTGGACAGATATATGGAGGAGGAGAAAGAGGAGGGAGGGGAGAGAGGGAGACGGGAGAGGAAATGATTGCTATACCTGAGCCAATCTTCATATTGGCTTAAGTCAGCTCGCTGAGACAGGTTATTTACAGGTGAACTACCTCCAGTATGAACCCTCCTGAAGTGGCTGGCATCATTAGCACGCGAGGGAGCATATGTGTCGATGTATGTGTTTGTTTACACATTAATGATGCCCCAAGGAGCATTATGCCAACTATGCTGGGATGTTTTATATCTCATAGGTAAAAAGAACGGGCTTCTGAGTATAGTATTTAGATCTTATAAAGGGGTTTTAGTCACCTGATCAAAATGCTATAATCACTGTAATCAACGCCTTGTAGTTAGTGAGTGATTAACGTGACTTAATTTGAAAAAAGAAACAAAATATCAATTTCTTTTAATAACAGCAACACGTCACTGATCCTTACGAAATTTATATCAAATTTTATTCCGATTTTTGGAGTGGTGTTAATATGAGGCCACAGTATATTCTTTATGAACAATACAGTACACATTAATAGCGTCTCATAAGTAGTTTAGTTGCCCAGTGAAGGTCATGGCACGTGTGTGGGAGATGCCGGGAAAACCAGGTATTTTATAATTAATTTTATGTCTTTATTACTACAGTTCGTTACATTAATATCTTACTGCATAATCATATCCTGAAGTACTGTACATTTCTCACAATCATTGACAGAATAAAGTTTTTTTTGGACATTTCAAACACCGCTGAACTCTCTGGGTGTACTGTAGGGGCCTCTGGTACTGTGTTCTCCATCTTGGGATTTATTTCCGTGCAGACACCAAATAACCTAACCTAGCCTAAAAAAATACTAACTTTCTTAATTTTGGGGATCACACACAGTAAAGCTTAATTCTCAAATAATTCTACACTCAAAAGTTACATTGACATCGTACGAGGTAACTGAGGGCCAGGTGTTATTGTCAAGGGTCAAGCATCATACCTGCTAACATATACGTAATCATGGATAAAAATACTACAGTGTCAAGGGAATTCAAATACTCGCTGATTGAAGCTTTGTGTGTGTGTGGGGGTGTGTGTGTGTGTGTGTGTGTGTGTGTGTGTGTGTGTGTGTGTGTGTGTGTGTGTGGGTGTGTGTGTGTGTGTGTGGTGTGTGTGTGTGTGTGTGTGTGTGTGTGTGTTTCTTTCGCCTCCCCTAATATAGACTAATACAGGGCAACAACATGGCTCTGATCCCCGGACACAATCACGCTCCTAACCAATACAGCAGCCAGGTGGACATGACAACAGCTGGTAGAAGTAATCCCTGGGTCACATGACAGGCTGTGTGCTCACAACAGTAGTTAAACTTTATGAAATGAAACGAAATTTTAGGCAGAGTATATTGAATTGTGTAGAATAAAATAAGACGAAATTTCAAAACATTTGCTAACTCAGAAGCATCAGGAAAGGTAGTGAAGCTATGCCTTGTTACCCTCTCCTCTGGTGGGTTATATGATGAGGCTCAATCCCTTATTTTTCTGAACGTTCTTTGACCTGTGACATGAGACTCTATCGTCAAATTATAAACGTGGCCATGCGATGATCTATGTTGACATTTACGTATATTTGGCCTCGTCTTTAAACAGCACATTGGTAGACATTTCATAATTACTTGTGAACCGAACAAATAAGATACCTATCAATTTGCTCAACAGTTATAGAATGACTCTTAAAACCTATTAACCTGTCAACTCTTCTTAGTGATATAGAACAAAATTATCGCTCTCACATTCACTGGCATTGTTGTCAGCTGATAATTGCATTTAACTTGTATATCACTAACTTTCCAAATTGTGACATTTAAATATACTATATGAATTCCAAACTAAGGCTTGACTAGAAACAAAATCGAGGGTCTATAAACAGTATATCGTGAGGCTATTGAGGTACAGCTTATTGACGTAGGAAAATATACACTATTATCAGGTGTCTGGAGGCTCTTATATTTTTTTATAATGTTTATGCGTAAATCATGACAGAGAGAAAGAAAAAAAATTCAAACAAATGAACAATGAGAGACAAAATGTTTGGTCTGTGATGTGAACCAATTTAGTGGGAACATACAGTAGTCATAACTCCGCTGCCTGTGTGTGTTTCAGTGTAGTTTTTGGTATTTACTGATTTTACTGATCACTATTTCAACAGATCTTTCTCTCTTTTCAGTCAACAGGTAAAGGAATCAGTAACAATGTACCGTCCCATGATGAGCATTTTCACTCTTCGACCACCAGTAATCACCAGCAACTGTACATTTGCTAATGTGTAAGTAAATGCAAGACAATTACAGATCTACAACAGTATGATACACAAATTACAACACAAAATTCAATGTATAATTTCTCTCATTTCTACACATTGTAATATTTCTCTGCTTCTCTCTACAAGACAAACTCCGGAATGGAAATGTCGTCATGTTTACTGCGTGCAGAGACAGTCATAAATAAACACATATAGTTTGATATATTATTTGTCTACTGAATATTCTTTGATGGTTCAGATATGTGGAAAATATTGGAGGGATATATTAAAGTTATACGATATTGAGAATATCTGTCACAGCGCCAAAGAGCTTTGTGTGTTTCCTGAACATTTTCAGTTTAAGTCCTTCTGATGTTGACAGTTGTATATAACTAGCATATTGTATTGTGTGTTAGCCAGAAGAAGTTGGATATCAATGTTGATTGTGCCTTTATTACGGCTATTGTGTTGTGTACGACCGTTTGCTGTATTGTGTGTAAACGCGGTTACCGTGACAAAAATATTATTCCCAATTAGGCTGGTTCTATAAACTGAGTATATATATATATATATATATATATATATATATATATATATATATATATATATATATATATATATATATATATATATATATATATATGTGTGTGTGTGTGTGTGTGTGTGTGTGTGTGGAGAAAGAGATTGTGCACCAGATGAATATTAATGCTTTCTATTTTTATTTTTCAAGAAAGTGACTCCATAAATCAAAGAAGTTGGCAGAATAATTAACACTAAAGTATAGAGTAAGTTAAACATTCATACACCGAATGCTTCATCCTTCTTCGTTGAATTGTATTGATTTCGTACATAACATTGTCATCCACTATATTGCCAACTGTCGTCCTGAACAAAACTGAATTACATAAACTCATTCATATTTTGATCTCATTTATCATTCCTATGCTAATCCATTAATATTTCGTCTACATATTAAAACCACACAAGTATAAGAGACATCAATGGAAGTAAAACTATGATAGAGCATCACCGAGGCAGCCATTATCATCCCTGACTTACCTCTCCCACTACAAAGTCTCTGAAGTTCCAGCATCAGTAATTTACTCTCTGGGTGTTAAGCGGAGTAATCCTTTGCCATCAGTACCTTCGGGGGTATCTGATATGTTCCCTCACATGATAGATTTCCGAAATAGCGCCAGAACCTAGACCATAATAGCGGATGCAGATTCTAGCAATTACCATTATATATACAGTCAAACAATAACCCAGTCACACTTCCAGGACAACGAATGACACATCCATATTCATGTTATTACCACTACTACATTGTCAATGATCATCCCATCACACTCCCTACCTGGACAATGTGAGGGACATACCAGGTGTGTGGGTGTGAGGGGGCTTAAACGAGAGAGAGGGGGAGGGAGGCGTGTGTGTGTGTGTGTCCATCTGAAAATTGGAATATAGTGCAAA